CTGATGACGGAGGCAGTATGACCTCTGAAACGTTGGTAAACATCGACCAGACTACACAGCGCAACAACCCAGAAGACAGAAATCTTCATACTCTGATGACGGAGGCAGTATGACCTCCGAAACGTTGGTTAACATCGACCAGACTACTCGGCACAACAACCCAGAAGACAGAAATCTTCATACTCACCGCTGTGAAAACCTCAAATCTTACAGCTCTCAACATGTTCAAAAAGAAAATTAAAAGTACGAAGGATCATAACAGACGCATTTACAACAACAACTTACTCTTGTAGAAAAGCAAGATGATCTTGTGAAACACTTTCATGAAGTTCATGTTGCCATAGCAGAACTCCTGGATCTTGAGCATGAGTGCCAGCTCTGAGCGGGCCGTCGTGGTGAATGCCTCAAACAGTGGAGTGTACTGCTTCAAATGTTTCAACGCCTGTTCAGCCACTAGTTCTTCCTTCTTATTCCATTCAACCTGAGACATCACAGTTGACCAAACCTGCAAAATAAAAGAATATCCTCAAACTGCTTACCCAAAAAACACATGTTACACTCTCGGCACAACACCTCATATGGGACATCCTCGAGTTTAATTTCTGCATTTCATTTATTTTCACCAAAATACCCAACAGGCATTAATTAGCACACTTAACCGTTAAAATCACACATTCCTAGCACTGGCATTTGGCTGAAGAATGTTTCTTATTGCTGCTGTCATTTATTGGAAGAACACAAAATAATGTTATTAATAAAATTATACCCAAACATGAAAAATGCCATGTCCTTTGCAAAGTGAGTTTTATAACAAGTGCAGATTAGTTTGAAATATTTCACAGACATACAAGAAAGTTCTACTTATATGCTAATGAAGTTGTTACATGGTTAGGAGACCCAGAAAGGTAAAGATCCATTCTGGTACTATGACACATGCTTTAATCTTTGCTGCGATACTCATAGAAAACTGAACACAACAATTCAGTTTCCAAACTTTAGCAGCAAGAGTTCCAACCCTTTTTGCAATGAAGCCTCAAATTGGTCTATTATACTAAGCACTGGAGAAATAATTGTCACCCCTCAACCAAAACTGAATTCAGGCAACCACAGTGGTGTGATATTGCTCCAATTCAGAGTTCTACAACTGGTGTGCCACAAGATTTCAAAGGTGTGCCTCAAAAGGCAATACCTTATCACACGAAAAACATATACATGCATACAGAGGTTCATCGTTCATACTTTTAATCAACAATTGTTATATTTTGTTTTCATATGTCCGCATTCTAAAAGGGAGAGGATTTATATGTAAATACATATTTATGGCCATGCAAAGTTTCACACCCCGCTTTCTCACGAGGCAAAAAGTCGTTGTGGAACACCGCTCTAATTCTCACTTGGCAGTGGGAAAGGGTGATGTATGAATGCACACAAATAAGCACTACTGCTTGAAAGGTGCCATAACTTTGGCACAGGCCTCTAAAACCATCAATTCTTCATTAAAATTGGTCTAATTTGGTCTAAAATAACCAGACTTTGGCGCAGAGCAATTAAAAGAGACAAGACTATCAATCCTTCAATGAGAAAGTGAAGAATATGCTAGCATACCAGATAAATGACTTCATGTTCTGCAATACTGTTCTTCCCAGCAACTTCCTTCACTTCAGACACAATGTCTTTGATAGCACGACTTTCAGAGAGCTGCTCCTCCAACTGAAGTTGCAGGTCGCGCTTTGCCTCTTGGTTTGCCTGTCACGAAACAAAACAGAATTGATTTATCAATCCTTTCATGTTCAAATCTTGGTTAATGTGTCCATCAATTAAAAAAAAAATTCCCCTGCTTCTCCGGTGGCATATATTGCTGAGATAGAGATCACAATGTCCAATTGTCCACATGATACAACTCAAGAATTATAATGAATTCTTCTCAGCTGTGTAAGGTGGTTTAATGAAGAAAACGCCAAAATTTTGAAGAACCATCTTCGACATCAGGGTACTGCATACTTCAGTACCCTGAGGATGAGAACAAATCTGCAAAATAAACTACCAACCTCACCCACAATTCCTCAACACAAAATAAAATAAAACACACAAATATGCCATTTTTTACTCTAGGTTCAGATTACAGGGCTCTCTAAGCACGAGTCTCAAAGACCACTGCTTTGACCCACGTTTAACATTGGCTGCGATCTCTACCAACCCATCTGCCCACAGCAAGCTAGGAACATGAACCCATAATTGGCAAGGGACTGAAGTTAATACTTTCAGACAAGAAGAAAGCAGTCCTACTGGTAAGCTTTACCTGTGCCTTGTGCAGTTTAACAATATCAGCCAATCCCTTTTCCTCAAATGCAGCCCGGAAATGTTCCTCAGTCCGTTTGTTTAGAGGAACAAACTCCATCAGTCTGCTCTCAATGCCACCCCTTTTTAGAGCAGTCATGAGGCTTGCGAGGCCTTTCTCCTGCTTCCAAGTGACAAACACTTCCATCAAGAACTCCAAAGCCAAGCTGTCTTTCACAAGGTGTTCCTGTACACAATCAAGACACAATACAAACATCCAAAGAATAAAACTGCTTGCAGTACATTTCTATCAGATCCCCATAACACAGAATGAAAATCTCACAGATAAAGACACTATGAGTCACCATGTTTCAGATTCAAAGTACTTAAACCACCATCTTTTTAAAAAATGTTTTCCCCTGTTACACTTACAGACAACACAATGTTTTAAACCCCTTCATCTGCCTCCTTGTATTTCTCTCCATTTGGTTGCTAGGTGACTCTTGGCAATTGCTTTATAGAGGGGAAGGAAAAAAATGTGTTTCAAATGGCCTGTGCCACTGCTGTTTGGCAACCATTTAAAACATAAAGCAATCACTACTGATAATAGCAGAATAATGGTCAACAGCAAAATGCAACCCAAACTGTCGGCAACCATCTAAGAGATGGCAAGGTGCGACAGGCCAGTAAGCCACAATCAACGACACTACTGGCATTTGTAATAGTTTACGAGCACTTCCACTAATGCCTTTCTTAATTAATGGAAACATTTATTCACAATATTTTAACAATTTCTCAACAAAAATAATGTATGTAACAAAATTTTAGCAAATTTTCTTTGATCAATGGGAATATACCAAATGGCACAAAAAAATGTAAAAATAAAAGATCACATAAATATGAATAAAATAAAACTCTTATAATTGTGTAGAACATACCTAAGTACGCATAGAAAAATAATAAGTTCAGCAGATTCTTAAACTTTCAATTCTTTTTTTGCAGTTCACTCCAAGAACTGAAGAGGTTTTCTCTGGTTTTTGTACACTAATCAATAAAGTGTGCCTCTCACATCACAAGATAATATCCAATTAGTGGCCAACCAATGAAACTCAAGTAAATTATGAGTCCCATTCAAATCTGTAGAGCTAATCGATTTTACATATTTTTAAATATGATTTTCTTGGAAGCATATGTAATATAACCCAACACAATAAATACCGTATTTTCTCAAATACGCAGCACATATTTTTCAGAAAAAAATTGTGCCAAAAGTGGGGTGCACAGCTTTTCACATAAAAAGCATCACACGCTACTAGCGATCTTCATCTCAATTTATTCATGGGTAAAGTCGGTTCTACGTTGTGATTTTGAGTAAAATAAAAATGAGCACAAAGGGTGTGCGATTACGATCTTTCATGGCGAGTGAAAAATTAAAGATAATGAGGGAGGCTGAAGAAAATGAAAAAAGTGCTGTGGGCCATAAATTTTATGTTAGCAAAAGCTGCATCAGAGACTGGAAAAAAAGAAAGATTTATTGCTGTAAAGCAGTGAAAGCAAAAGAGCTTTTCGTGGACAAAAGGCAAAGTTCTCTGAAATAGAACAAAAACTGATGGACTACATTAACCATGAGACAATTCAGTTGTGCAGTTTCAACCAAAATGTGCCAATTAAAAGCTTTGGCACTGGCGAAAGAAATGGAAATCAAGAACAGCTGTGGTTGGATCGTAAGATTCTTCGCAAGATACGACCTAGCCATAAGAAGGAAAACGAGCATATCCAAGCGACTACTAGCTGCATATGAGGAGAAAATACTGTCTTTTCAGAAATATGCCATTGAGCTTAGACAACATAATTCCTATATTTTATCGAAAAATACCAGAAATAACAAAGAAGTGCTCTTTTTTTATGAACTAATGTTAATCATAAAATGTTTATTAATGTCTAATACTTGGAATCAGAAATAACAAAGAAGTGCTCTTTTTATGAACTAATGTTTATTAATGTCTAATACTTGGAACATTTTTTAAAATTGTTTTTATGTTTTTGTCTTAAAAATTGGGGTACAAGGCTTGTTCAAGGGTGCAGGTTATTCAAGAAAATACGATAATTGGTATGGGAACAATCTGCTTCCGGCAAGAGAATGGACAGGAAGTCGCTTTCTTCTTCTTCTGTGCTGACTTGGTGTTCAATTTGAAGTTTGATGTTTGGATGGTTCCAGCTTTAAGCTATAAGAATATGGGCTACAAAGAGTACCTGGGGGCTGAAATGACAAATTGGGGCAGGTACTATGGTAGCAGGATAATAACTAGTTTGGGAATTCTGGTATCATTAATACAGAAATTTATGCACACAGGGCTAGTTGTTCACAAAGCTTGCATTGTGCAAACACTATAATCATACTCTGTATTTACACAAACACAGATTTAAGATTAACACGACACATTCTCATATTATTTGTATAAAATACATTTTAAAATAATTTTCCCAATTATGCAAAGGACTCTCAAATGGTCTGTTAAAACTGCAGTATAAATACCAAAGGAAGAGGACTATACTTTGCACTACACAGAAATCATTAGTGTTGTGTTTGGTTGTAAAATTCAGCCTCCAACGATCTGAAACGCAATACATTACCACAAATAAATTCATACCTACATTAATAAGTACAAGCAGCACAGTTGGTGGCACCGAGCCATTGGAGATCCACAGTGATGTCATACGAGCCAACTTAATACGTTCTAACTCAGTGAAACCTTTAATGAAGATCAGGATTTTCTTCATCTCATCCTCAAACATCTTCTCAAGGTATTTGTATCGGCGCATAAGTTTGATGAACACCTACAAACAACATACAAATAAGAAACATTAAATATGCAGTACAGCAAAATACCAACATCAGTAAAAGCCTGTTACAAAGTGCATCCAGTCTGTTACCAATCCTGACGCTCACATCTATGAACTACACTGTGTAAATATTGTGAGCAGTTAATATTAATCTGAACATAAAAGTATGTCATGGAATTAAACATTCACCACTAAAATTACAAAACCCCTGCCACTAAACTACACTCAGCCAGTTCACAGCCTCGCAACTTACATCCACAATTCCTCCTCTTCTTATGCCATAAAATTTCAGTACAATACATTTTGATATTTCTCACACCTACACAGTTCCCTCCAAATGGGATTTTTCCCACACCAAAGAAGGATGCATGCTACATGTCTTACTCATCCCATTCTTCTTTTCCAAACATGAACATAAATTCAAACTTAAAACTTTGCATACCGTGTAGTATATTAAAATATAAAAAAGCAAACAAACAAACTATTAACACTATAAAAAAGACACTAGTGCCATAAGCGTTTCAACCTCAAGAGGTCATCATCAGTGGCAACAGGGAAATTAATTCATTTAACCAAAATGGTTTAGAAAACAAATAATGCAGTGGAGTATTTTACAACAGCATATCAAGCAACACTACACTGGATGTTGGTATTCACAGGAGTTGAACTCTGCACTTAGCTATTGATCCTATGGTCCGGTGTCCTTAGCTTGTCTGCAACGAACCGTGGTTGCGTCGTCCGTACCTGTGAACTCCAACGAAGCTGGGTGTTACTGCCAGTTTTGCAATGCAAGGGGTATATAAAAGATCAAAATCAGGGTGGCCAACTATTGAAAATTTACTGATTTCAAGCTTATATATACCCCATGCATTGCAAAACTGGCAGTAACACACACGCTTCGTTGGAGTTCACAGGTACGGACAACGCAACAACAGCTCGCCGCAGACCAGCTACGGCCACCGGACCATCGGATCAATAGCTAAGTGCAGAGTTCAACTCCTGTGAATACCAACATCCAGTGTAGTGTTGCTTGATATGCTGTTGTAAAATACTCCACTGCATTATTTGTTTTCTAAACCATTTTGGTTAAATGAATTAATTTCCCTGTTGCCACTGACGATGACCTCTTGAGGTTGAAACGCTTATGGCACTAGTGTCTTTTTTATAGTGTTAATAGTTTGTTTGTTCGTTTATTTTATATAAATTCAAACTGTCTTACAACGCAATAAGTACCCCAGTTTTCATACTCTCATTACAGATGACTGCACTTCAATGGCTACCTTCTGCATTAAGAATACTGCATACTGCACAAGACAATGTTCACAAACATATTCCAAGTCAACACCAAAGATGTTAACCCCATCAAATGCACAGCATAAATCATATTTCACATAAACAGCCAACAACTGCTACTTTCTTGATAGACAACATCATAAATGAGAAGTCTCAGCACTGAGACAATCTCGATGATATACATAGTCAGCTACTGACAGAATCATTAACCTTTAAAGTATTTGGCTTTTAAATCCCAATATCCCCTGCTGTCCCAATTTAAATCCCACAAATATGCTACATGTGCATGTTTTCGGCTAAGGCAACATATCTTTCTTAAAAACCTAATGCAACAATAAAATTAATTACAAATTGTTAAGATGAGTTTACTTTACTAATTGGAACCTTTCCTCAAGCTTTAGCTCTGCAAGATTACTTATAACTGGAAGGAATATCACAAGTATTTACACTTTCTGTCACCATTAGATTCATGCTTAGAGGCAGATATCTAGTAACGTTCATCATGCACCAGTAGCTCTTCTTGTTCCGCCTATAAAGAATAGGTGCAGTGAAAACTTCCATCTCTTTACTTATGATACCCTGTGGTAGCAGGCTGCTAGTTGCTTACAGGATGTAATACTCAAAGCACTAAATTTGTTTCCTCCAATAATAATGTCCATACCTTATTTCTTGGAACAAGTCATGTTAAGAACATTTATATAATCCCCTGCATATGTAAGTATCATTATGTCTGCATGCAGATATATGTTTTCCAGTCCCACCAACTTATGATCATGCCACTAATGGCCACCTCTGGTTTGCAATTTCATATACTGATAACAACATGCAAACATGAGGTAGAATTGCCACTATCACCATTTGATTTAAGGCCAATGTCAAATCTATATTAGGCATATTCTTGTAAGTAACGATAATGGAAGCTAGCAACATAAATTTGGTACTCATACAGAAATACATCACTAAATTATACACTTATTAATTTATAATTTCTCCTAACCTCTCTACACTGAAGGGAATTACACATCCCTCTGTTTTCATTATAAAGTAGCAATTTACAAGAAAACAGGAAAAATAAGGTTTCTGTTTGAAAAGTACAACTGGATCTTCTAAAGTATCACAGATCATCAGACATCCAAGGAAGAAATATAAATCATACATTATCAGTCTCAAGAAAGCATCATCATATGATCATGATACAGAATGAGTACATAACCACATACAAGTTTTATGCGACACTCGCACGTACATACCTGTTCATAATTGTGCATCGAGTCCATATCTTCAGGTGCCTCAAACACACAGGCATTGGTTTTGCATGGTTTGTCCCCATCCTGAGCTATTGAACCACCTGGAACTAGAACACAAAAAAAGAAGTGAAAAAGGATGAGATGAGAGAAGAGCATTTTAAAATATGGGCACAATATCCAAATCCACTTTTTCTTACTAATGCATTCTAAATGAGATGCATTTATATGTTATTCATATTTGCATACACAATGAAATAAACCCTTGAACACACAGGGATCGTCATCACACTACATCCCAGCCAATTAGCTACCATGTGTCTATCCTGACGCACGACAGGTTTCCACAATTTTTTTTGAAACTGTGACCAGTAGATGAAACATTTTGATGTGGGTTCTCCTCTGTCAAATGCCATGGACTCTTATTGGTTTCCATTAGATTGCAATAATGCCAGAATAAAAATATGTTAAAGTGAATGTACATTCAACACCCATATGACAATGTCTGTCAGGTCCAAATCTCATCCTAAAGAATGCTGATCCCAACCAGGTTTTCCACAATTTCCCCCAGTTTCTCCAAGCTGATGCCAATAAAATACTTTAAAATAGACCACACCATGTCCTTCCACACCCTTTTCAATTCATTATTTACAAATCATCTAACCATTTGATGCTATGTGTCAAAGCAATTAAAAGCACTGTAAACAAATTGACAAAAAAAAACAGCATCCAAAACCCAACCACATTCTAGTGACAGCAAAGACACAAAGGCAACCAGGCAGGTAGCTGATGTATATGACTTACCAAGTAAACCACCTGCTATAAGGATGTCAAAAAGTGCTTCACCATAGCGCCGGTAATCCAGTTTTGAGCCAGCTGTGTCCAGAAATTTTGAAACAGCGTCTAAGTCAGTTCCAGCCTTGTTAAGACCCTGCAGCACAGCGTCTCTAAACCCTGCAGGGTCATACTTCTCTTTTTCATCTAAAAAAGAATGCTGGCCTTTAAACTAATGACAATGAATACAACAGAAATGCACGAGTTTCTGTCAACGTAGTTCTTACTTACTGTTACAGGGGAACTTACATTGCTACACATACATCTGCTCAGATTATATATACAGGGTATACACAAAAGAATGGTGCAAATGTGA